GATATCCATGTAGCGATGTTTTAGATAAATTGTCTAGAATCGAAAATAAGTGGCAAACTTACACTATTACCCTGAGGGACAACATTTGATATATCGGGAAAGCATTGTTTAAAAACCTTCTACTTGGTACTTGGTAAATAGTAGTGTTTCACTTTTTTTCTAAACAAAAAATTAAATAAATATGCGATTCAAAATAGGTGGCAACCCTATTAAAAATATTTTTGAATTAGGGATCTTTGAAAAGGCGCCCATTTGATCCCCATATTATGATGTTCTAATTAATTTGTAATTAATTTCGAATAGGTGGCAACCTTTCTCAAGTCTTCTCGGAGGTAGTGCCTACTACGAAATTTCGAATTATTTCTTTAAAGCTTCGAATTTTGGCCGCACTTTTGCATTTCGGCTGCACTGTGCGTCGGTACATATGTATGCTTGTAAGCTTGCCTGTTGATGTCTTCCGCCACGTATTTGTTTGAGTTCAAATATTTCTAAGCTTTGAGTTGGCGCCAAGCAAACTCGTTTAACTTGTCCGCAGTTGGTGGACCTGTCGCCGCGCACACACACATTCTGTGGCACTCCGTTTTGTTATTGCGGTGCTTTTATGGGGCTATCCGGCATTCTACAATTTGCCTTTTTGTTCCTGTACGGACACACTATCGCCATGCACATACTACAGTGTAGTATGTATGTATGCATGTAAGCATATGAAATTGTCCATATGTACATACATACATATAACGGGGTTGTTTTGCTGCATAATGGATGCGGGTTTCAGAAAATGCTGTTGTTCAAAATGCAAAATGAAATCTTTTTTGTTTACTTGTTTTCTTCTTTTCTAGTAGCCATATTAAGGGTATATACCTACATATACATTGTATATGCACTTATACATATACTTTTGTTGCCAGCATATGAGTTTTTGTTCATCCGACATTGTAAATACATAAAATATAGACAAGTGATGATTTCCTTTTCCTTTCTTACTATTTTGCACACAGTCAGGAGGTTATGGATAATATTTTTTTTTTAAAGTATGATTTGTATAAACATAATAATGCATGATTGCATTTTCTGGCATTTGTTTAAACATTTATTTATAAATTTATTGTGAAATATTTTTAAATCGAAGTATGAGTAAATACCGCAAATTGATTTGATGAAGGGGCCCATCAAGAATACTTTTAATGTTACGTGTGCGGTGTCCATTAAGGTGGTCCTTAAAAAATATCAAAATCCCTTCTTGCTCTACGTACAAAATAAAGACATCCTTGAAACNCGTCGAAACCCATGTATATATTTTGCAAAATAGCATAGCAAGATATATGCGACCCTGTGCTAGTTGTTTTGTTGTTGGAATTGCTACATATTTCTCTCATTCCTCTCATCTCGCTCACTTCATTTTTTTCTGCTGTCTCTTGTTATTGTATTTGATACATAATTTCGCTGCTTGCTACGCATGCATTCTACCACTTTGCAATGGGGTGCTCTCGTACTCTTCGAAATTTGGGATAGTATTTTTGCATTTCGTGCAATACGTGCATCGTGCAATACTTCGAGAATACCCCTAATAAAAAATAGGGGTGGACTACCAGGGCATGACAAAATGTATTTTTTTTATAATACCAGAAGCTCGACAAAATTTTCGATAAAACTCAGCGAGTTAACAATATGTCTAACTTGTCAAATTTGAAGTAAAAATTTTGTCGATTTAAAAAAAAATTTTGATTTTTTCATTCCTTTTTTTTATCTAACTATGTATGACTTTATTTTGTATAGGGCACATAAAAAGTCTCTGCGGATTTTCATCCCTATGTGTTGTTGATGCCCATACATCTGGCAATGCTAATCCAAGTGCGTCAAATTGACAAGCGTTCTAAAGGTGGCATTTTAATGTACAACTTTGGCACGGACAGCTAAGTATGTAATTTGGTGTTCATGAAATGAGTGAAATGTCGGAAGAAATGCGCTATGCGATGCCTTTTCACAATAAAAACGGTGAAAACTATGCAAAAATGGACCGAAAATTTGTGAAGCATACGTTGAGAATGCATGGAGTAAGCGCCGGACCCAGGAATAAGATGCTCGATTCGGTTGCATTTTGATGTCAAAGATGCACCTCGCTCTGATCGGCAGGTTACTGGAACTCGATGAGTATATCGATAGCTGAGTGGAAGATCGACCTATCTCGGCAGCCAGTT